TGCGTTTCTTTAAGTCTTCCTACCAACATGACCGAGTTGCGAAAACAAGGTCAAACAACTTCTATAAATTATCATGTTTACAATGGACTAGGTGCTTTCCTCTACGGCTTCCTACTAATATTACAAAGTTGCGAAAACGAACTCAAATAACTTCCACACCTGAACTACATCTAAATAAGCCAATGCACATTGGCTTATCCCCACACTTTTCCCATTCAATGTGTACTTTTGTTATATCCCATACGTAGCTATTGCTCAACATGATAGGACGCGTGAATGCGTGACTAATCTTCACTCTTTATTTCGCGTCGGCCAATCAAAGCTTGGCACCGTATCGCTGACATGGAAAACTACCCAAGGGTATATCAAGTAGCCAACATCCATTTCCTTCCTTCGCTTTCTCCTTTTCGCTGTGGTCCTGGGGGTTCAGACTTTTCTGCTTCGCGCCGCCTTTCAATGATTGTCACTCTATTCAACTGTATTCAGCCATTTCTAATTTTTTCCCTTTCTCTCTTCATTTCGGGGCCTCTAACACAAAACCAGTAAATAATTGTGATAGTAAATGCGTGATACGAAAATATAGGATATTTGAATACACCAGGACAGGAGGAGAAATATCGCAACTATTGAGCAGACAATTCGTTAAAGGATCGACTTCATTTGTGTCTTTGACGAGTTGTTCTGTGATGTTAAGATTGACAAGGCTCATTGACGATGCTGACGAAACGTCTGGGAGTGTCCTAAGACCAAGGTACGATTCTGGAAATTATCATGCATATTGTGGACTCCAGACAAAATGCGTTCGGCTGGGTCGTCCTGGTAACACGATCAAGTAACGAAAACAAGGTAGAGCAACTTCTATATGGAGAATAGTTTGCTGTTTGGCAAGAATCATATACGAGGTCTATGCGGTTTCAGGCATCTCATCAGCGAGTTATTCTCTTAGGCGCAGAGAGTGTTTTTAAACCGAAGTCAGATGCGAATCCAGCGCTGTTCTGTAAGGTAATCATTATATCGAATGCATTTATTATCATCATGGACCTTGGATTAAAATGTTAAAATATTAATGATTCAGATTTTTAGATTGAAATTGCAGAATTTTTAATTTCGTCATTTAATCATCAAATAACTGATCTATCTATAAAATAAATAGATGATTTTGCAATTGACCTCCCGCCAAATCGCCTATATCCAGAGTGAATCGCATTATCCGCCGTGCATAGGCATAAGCAAGGTCTTCTGATGGGTAGGTTCAATAGCAAATACGTAAGACCAGAGACGAATGATTTACAGTGGAGGCATGATACTCATGGCAAGACGGGCTGCTGTCAAATATGATCGCCACTGGGGATGAAGGAAGACAACCAGATAATCTAGACACAATCTATTATGGAACCATATACCTATGAATTCTTCAAAATTTATGAGTCAATGAAAAAGTACGATAGACGAGACCTTGAAATTACCATCAGGAGAGGATCCGCTTTCTACTTGGACGCAATTTTTCCTTGTTGGCATAGATGTTTGCTCAACATCAACAGCTAGATCATCAATAGACACCGTGGTAGGGGAATATCGCTGATGGAGCGTCATAGAGGACGCCGACAGTGGCACCTCTAAATCGATAGAAGGGCTAGGTGTCAAAATAAGTTGTGAATGATGTTCACTGTCGAGTTCCTCATCGTTACATAATTGCCGGAGCTGGAGGCCATCACAGACGTAGTTTCCCAGTCGTTTGCCGTAATCAAATTTATCTCCACCCCTGAATTGGGAGTAAGATTCACCATGCGTAGGACATGAATGGGCCATAGGAACCCTAACGGAAATATCCACAGCATCTATGCCACTTGGGAGAACTTTGTTTCTCTCAGTGCTTCTGCTCATGTAAAATCCATCGGAGGAAATCATAGCACTTGCCATGAGAGACGAATGCTCACTGCCCATGGATATGGGAGATTCAGAAGAGGGAGAGAGAGGAGCCAGATTGGGGGCAGCTAATGCATAGGCTGTAGATTTTTGCGAAATACCTAAAGTCATTGGTGACGTTATTGCAGATGAGAAAGAATGAAGAGAAAATAAGCCACATGCTGACGTTCCATGATCTTCCTGCTCGTCGAAGGCAGCGATGACTTCGTCTAGTTCGTCCAACGAAGTGCGGATCTCTTCGCTTCTAAAAAGGCAAAAGCGAAAATAATAAAAATGAAATGGAATTATTCTTATTAATTATTCATAGTATTCAGTAGCAGAGTGGACAACACCGTGGGATATCGATAAGAGATCAAAATAAGGCACAAGTAACATTTACTAGTCAAATTCACAGATATCACACTATTAAAAGAATAATTATTGTCAAGATTAAAGAATAGTGTGGATCCAACTTTAGCCACGGATCCCCTTACAAGCATATAATTTGGCTGGTCTCATAGCATGAGACCTAGAAGGGAGCAAAACCAGGTACTTGCTTCGGGATCAGTATAACATGACTAACCTGCAAAAGCGGGATCAGAAAAATTCTAGACATAAAAGAATTGATTGTATATAAGAATAAAGTTGGTTGAAGGGATTAATAAATTGGCCTCATCAGGAACTAAACGAGTGTATACTGTTGGAGTATGAAATGAATTTATGGGTTTAACGTCCTTCTGACTGGAAAAATTTGAGATGAGATTTCAACTTTCAAAAGAAAGAAATCGCCAGAGTGAGAAGCTAATTTAAGAACCCCTGGTTAGGGCCCTCACATCTCCAGATTTACAGTGAATACACACAATATGCAGAGAACAAAATGCCTGGACATTCCCAAGAGGTGTATGACGAGAAATAGTCGATATTCTATTACCGCATTGATGAAGAGTAAAATCACAGATCGTAGATAAGAAGCCCAAGAGGGTGTGGCCTTCTGTTTGTCCGCAGACTCTTTAAGCATTATAGTTTTGGCTCGAACTCGTTTTTGAAACATGATAAGAGCGGCAGATATATCATGCGGGACGTAGCTAGTCTAGTATCATCTGACATAGTATTTGTGATTTACAGCATCGGACTTGGTACAATCCCGAACGTTTCGCCAGAATCACCACCACAAGTTACAGCATGTCAGTAAAAAGTGAAGACAATCTCCTTGACCTATTTTTAGTTCAAACATTGTGGCCTCACTCCACGTCTCTTTTTGTTTTACCTTGGAGTGGTGAATATAATTATCTCAATCTAAGGTATGAAGACCGAGATGGTATGGCCTTTTCTGTGGTCGCAGTCTCCTTTCGTTGTATATAAGTTATTTGACCTTGTTTTCGCAACTTGGTCTTATTGATAGGAAGACCTAGAGGAACGCACCTAATCCGGAGTCCATTGTATGCATCATCATTTCCAAAGTATGACTGTGGACGTAGTACATTCCCAGACGTTTCGCCGGCATCGTCAGTGAGTCTCGCCATTCGTAGCACCATATT